CCCCACACTACTACAGTCTGGCCTCATCTTAACCAATGACATCTGCTCCAATCCTGTTCCCAAGTGAGGTCCCCTTCTGAGTACTGGGAGTTAGGGCTTCGATGTGTGAATGTTGGGAGGACATGGTTCAATCATATCACTATTTTTGTTGTTATTACTTACTATTTAATGAGCCAGTCTTGGCCAGGCATGGTGGCTCATGCCTGTAATCCCAGCACTTTGGGAGGCTGAGGCAGGCAGATCATGAGGTTAGGAGTTCGAGACCAGCCTGGCCAACATAGTGAAACCCCATATCTACTAAAAATACAAAAATTAGCCGGGTGTGGTGGCACACACCTGTAGTCCCAGGTACTTGGGAGGCTGACACAGGAGAATCGTTTGAACCTGGAAGACAGACATTGTAGTGAGCCAAGACAGAGGCATTGCATTCCAGCCTGGATGACAGAGCAAGATTGCATTTCCAAAAAAAAGAAAAACAAAGACTCCATCTCAAATAATAATAATAATAATAATAACAACAATAAGCTAGTCTTGGCTACAGGTAGCTTCCTGGCCCACCTCGAGGAAGGTGGGTGGATGTACGGCATGTTCTGGTCTCCTGGGGAGGCTTCAGTGGAGTCTCCAGGGTGGGTCCTCCATTTTCTCTTGCTGCTTAGGCCATGGGAGATGGGGTGCTGGTGTCTCTTTGGCTTAGTTCAGAAGCCTGGCCCCTGCGCTCTTAGTTTTCTCACCTGTCGAATGCGCTTGGCATGGCCCTGGTGTTGAAGTCACTTGACTGACTGTGGATTCATGTGACCATGGAATCCCAGCTGGATGCAGGCAGAGGGCAGTCACCTGAACCGCTGGACCCCTGGGCTCACCCTGGCACCAAGTGTCCCAGGGCAAGCCACAGTGTCCGTGCCTGGCAGACTCCCCTGCCCAGCCTTCACTCCTGCCCTGCCCATACCAGCGTATGTGAAGCCAGCATACACGATGTGCTCCATAAATGCTCCCTGAACTGTGCTAGCATAGAGCCAGCACACAGAAGGTGCTCAATTAATGCCCCAGGGTCCATACTAGCATGGAGGCAGCACACAGAAGGTGCTTAATAAATGCTCCATGAACTATACTTAGCATGCAGGCAGCACACAGAAGGTGCTTAATAAATGCTCTATGAACTATACTTAGCATGGAGCCAGAACACAAAAGGTGCTTAGGAAATGCTTCATGAGCTGTACTTGGCATGGAGCCAGCACACAAGGTGCTTAATAAGTGCTCAATGAGCCATATTTAGCATGAGGCCAGCATACAGAAGGTGCTCAATGAGTGCTCCATAACTGTACTTAACCTGGATCCAGCATGCAGGAGGTGCTTAACAAGTGTTCCATGAGCTGTCTTTAGCATGGAGCCAGCACACAAAAGATGCTTAATAAATGCTCCATGAACTACACTTAGCATGGAGTCAGCACACAAAATGTGCTCAATGAATGTTCCAGGGTCTTTACTAACATGGAGCCAGCACACAGGAGGTGCTTAATGAATGCTCCGTGAACTACTGGTATGACATCAGCATACAGAAAGTGCCCAATAAATACTTAGTGACTCATACATACTTCATGGAGCAATTCGTTCTGAGCCATACACTCATTTGTTTGGGGGGCAGTCTACAAAGTAATCATTGGACCTCAGGGGGACAGTTTTTGGTGTGTTTAGCGGAGTTGAACCCCATTGGGTGGCTGCTGCTTGGCAACGTCCAGGTGAGCTGTCCACTCACTTGATTCTGAGCCTGTGTGGGCCGAAGAGATGCACGCTGCTGTGGTCCCGGCTGCTGGTCTGACAGCCAGGTGTGTGCAGACCTTACCCCCAGCTCTTGGATGCCTCTTCCCTGCCCAGCCAACCCTTGTCTGTCTGCCCAGCCTGACCTAAGTCCCCCAGCACAGAGTCGTGTCAAGGCAGGACCAGAGGTTGCAATCCACCAGGGCTGGGTTGAGTCCCATCCCACCCAGTGATCTGTTTCCTTCACCTCCCTGCCCTGTAGCTTCTCCATCTATAAAATGAGTAATAGCTTCACATGGTGCTCCCGTGAGGCCTAAACACAGGTGATGATGTTTTGTAGATTCTAAAAAGACACCAAAACATCAGGATTTTTTTTTTGGTGTGTTTGAGAATGAGTCTCACTCTGTTGCTCAGGCTAGAGTGCAGTGGCATGATCTCAGCTAATTGCAACTTTCACCTCCGGGCTCAAGCGATTCTCCTGCTTCAGCCTCCCAAGTAGCTGGGATTACGGGCCGGTGCCACTACTCCTGGCTGTTTTTTAAAATTTTTTTGGAGATGGAGTTTTGCTCTTGTTGCCAAACTGGAGTGCAATGGTGTGATCTTGGCTCACTGCAACCTCCGCTTCCTGGGGTCAAGCAATTCTCCTGCCTCAGCTTCCCGAATAGCTGGGATTATAGGCATGTGCCACCACGTCCAACTAATTTTTTATATTTTTAGTAGAAACGGGGTTTTACCATGTTAGGCTGGTCTCAAACTCCTGACTTTAGGTGATCTGCCCACTCATGCCGCCATGCCTGGCCTTTTTTTTTTTTTTTTTTTTTTGAGGTGGAGTCTTACTCTGTTGCCCAGGCTAGAGAGTGCAATGACATGATCTTGGCTCACTGCAACTTCCAACTCCCAAATTCAAGCGATTCTCCTGCCTCAGCCTCCCAAATATCTAGGATTACAGGTGTGGGCCACCACACCCAGCTAATTTTTTATTTTTAGTAGAGATGCGGTTTTGCCATGTTGGCCAGGCTGGTCTCGAACTCTTGGCCTGCAGTGATCCACACACCTTGGCCTCTTAAAGTGCTGGGGTTACAGGCATGAACCACCGCACCTGGCCAGGAATGTTTATTTTATTTTTTTAATTTTGTTTTTTCAGATGGAGTCTCATTCTATCACCCAGGCTGGAGTGCAATGGCTTGATCTTGGCTCACTGCAACCTCTGCCTCCTGGGTTCAAGCTATTCTCCTTTCTCAGCCTCCCAAGTAGCTGGGATTACAGCCACACACCACCATGCTTGGCTAATTTTTGTATTTTTACACTATATTGTAGACAGGGTTTCACTATATTGGTCAGGCTGGTCTCAAACTCCTAACCTCAGGTGATCCACCTTCCTCAGCCTCCCAAAGTGCTGGGATTACAGGTGTGAGCCACCGCACCTGGCCAGGAACGTTTATTTTTAACATAAAGTCATTTAGCAATTTCACCTGAGCCCAGCAGAAATAATCACGTGTTCAACAAAAAATGTGCAGAAAATGTTCATGGGCCGAGTTATCCATGATACCCCCAAGCAGGAGTGTCCACCCGCAGTGGATTGGGGAAATCACTCGTGGTGTGTCCACCCAGCAGAATACGATACAGCCATGAAAACTACCAATTGCTGTAGGCCAAAAGGCGGATGAATCTCACAAAAATCATGTTAAGCAAAAGAAACCATGCTCAGGTGTGCACCACCACGCCCAGCGAACTTTTGTATTTTTAGTAGGAAGAGGTTCTGCCGTTGGCCAGGTTGGTCTTGAACTCCTGAACTAAAGTGAACCACCCGCCCTGGCCTCTTAAAGGCGAAACCTCATCTCTACTAAAACACAAAAATTAGCTGGGCGTGGTGATGTGTTTCGTCTGAGTTCACTGAGCAAGTGCAGGAACAGGGGAAACAAATCTAAGATGACAATGGCCCAGGTGGTTTCCCTGGGGAAAAGGGACCCATGGGAGGGGGCACTGGGCACTTTCTCGGGGGTGAGAAGTGAGCTGTAGCGCTTCCTGGATGGTGATTGTGTGGGTCTACGCATCTGTAAAAATCTTTCAAGCTGCCCCTTTGCAGAGCTATAGTGTGTGTAAGTTATATTTAGAGAAATAAAAAACAGGAAATGAAGCTGGAAGTGGTGGCTCACGCCTGTAATCCCAGCACTCTGGGAGGCCGAGGCGGGCAGATCACAAGGTCAAGAGATTGAGACCATCCTGGCCAACGTGGTGAAACCCTGTCTTTACCAAAAATACAAAAATTAGCTGGGCATGGTGGTATGCGCCTGCAGGCTCAGCTACTCGGGAGGCTGAAGCAGGAGAATCGCTTGAATCCAGGAGGCAGAAGTTGTAGTGAGCCGAGATGGCGCCACTGCATTCCAGCCAAGTGACAAAGTGAGACTGTATCCCAAAGAAACAAATTTAGCCAGGCATGGTAGGTCATGCCTGGTAGATCGTGCCTGCAGTCCCAGCATCTCAGGAAGCTGAGGTGGGAGGATGGCTTGAGCCCAGGAGGTGGAGGCGACAGTGAGCCATGATTTCGCCACTGCACTCCAGCCTGAGTGACAGAGTGAGAACCTGTGTCAAAAAAAAAAAAAGAGAATGTAACAAACACCACATTGGGGATTAGGCACAACATATTGGACAATTCAAAACCATTTAATGATTGGAAAGAGGGAGGTACTGAGAGGGAAGAGGGGAGAGAGGGGGGATGGGAAAGGGAGAAGGGGGTGCTGTTCTTTTCCTAATGATTGGAAAGAGGGAGGGGGGGAGAGGGGAGAGGGGGGAGATGGGAAAGGGAGAAGGGGGTGCTGTTCTTTTCCTAATGATTGGAAAGAGGGAGGGGGGAGAGGGGAGAGGGGAGAGAGGGGGGAGATGGGAAAGGGAGAAGGGGGTGCTGTTCTTTTCCTAATGATTGGAAAGAGGGAGGGGGGGAGAGGGGGGAGATGGGAAAGGGAGAAGGGGGTGCTGTTCTTTTCCTAATGATTGGAAAGAGGGAGGGAGGGAGAGGGGAGGGGGGGATGGGAAAGGGAGAAGGGGGTGCTGTTCTTTTCCTAATGATTGGAAAGAGGGAGGGAGGGAGAGGGGAGAGGGGAGAGAGGGGGGATGGGAAATGGGAAAGGGAAAAGGGGGTGCTGTTCTTTTCCTACCAGCAGCGGGTGAAGTCTTTAGGCCTCCAGGGAATTCGGATGGCATCTCTTCCCCAGCGGGGCTTCCTGGAATTCTCCCTCTCCTTCCAGGTTCATGAACCACCGAGTCCCTGCCCACAAGAGGTACCAGCCCACAGAGTATGAACACGCGGCCAACTGTGCCACCCATGCTGTGAGTTGGCTTTGGGGGATCTAAGGGCTGAGATGGGGACACTTATGGGGAAGGGGGTGGGGGAAGGCACCTCCTTCACAGATGTCCTAAGTGGCCTGTTCCTTGGGTCTTCTGTGGCCCTCAGAAGAGTAAGTGGACTGTGGTGCTGAGCATGCATCTCTCTTGCTCTGAGAACCTTGCGTGGGGCTGGACGTAGTGTCTCACGCCTGTAATCCCAGCACTTTGAGAGGCTGAGGCGGGTAGATCACCTGAGGTCAGGAGTTCGAGATCAAGCTGGCCAACGTGGTGAAACCCTGTCTCTACTAAAAATACAAAAATTAGCTGGGCGTGTTGGCGGGTGCCTGTAACCTCAGATACTCAGGAGGCTGAGGCAGGAGAATCGCTTGAACTCAGGAGGCAAAGGTAGCAGTGAGCTGAGAACATGCCATTGCACTCCAGCCTGGGTAACAGAGAGAGACTGTGTCTCAAAAACAAACAAACAAAAAAGAACCTTCGATGGCTCCCTAGTACCTACTACAGCATCCTGTCACCGTAGCGAGCTCCTAGCCCATCTGTCCACGCACCTCCCGCCACTATGCTCTTGTGCTCAGGCTCAAGCCCTTGAATCCCTCCATTTCCTAAAGAGAAGGCATCACTCCATGCCTTTGTACGTGCTGTTCCCGCTGCCTGGAATACTTGTCATCTCCACTCTAGCTCTGCCTATGAAACCCTTTTCAGCATTCACAAGCCTTGCTGAAATGTTCCTCAACAAAGCCTTCCCCTCTGCCCAGATGCTGGGAAGCTGAGCCGGTGCCTACCTCCCCAGCCACCCTCACTGCCTGTACCATGCTAGCTGGAATGTACCTGTCCATCGCACATTCATTCAGCAGACAGTTCCTGGGTACCCTCCAGGCACTTGCGATGTAAACGTGAGTTCACACAGAATCCCTGCAGGGTTCTCTGGTATCTCAGGACATCTCAGCATGCCTGGCACAGGGAGGTGCCCAGATATGTGTGGAGTTGAATTGAATTAATTCTCAACCCCCACCCCACCTGTTAGTCTCTGGGGGCCAAAAAGTAGTGGCTGGTGCTGATTTGAACTTTGTGCGTGCCTGGGATCACACTAAGTTCTTCCCCCCACTACCAAAGATAGTCTTGCTCTGTTTCCCAGGCAGGAGTGTAGTGTGCCATCTCAGCTCACTGCAACCTCTGCCTCCCAGGCTCAAGCAATTGCCCTGTCCTGCCTCAGCCTCCCAAGTAGCTGGGATTACAGGTGCCCACCACTGCACCCGGCTAATTTTTGTATTTTTAGTAGAGACGGATTTCACCATATTGGCCAGGCTGGTCTCATACTCCTGACCTTGTGATCCTCCCGCCTCAGCCTCCCAAAGTGCTGGGATTACAGACATGAGCCGCCATGCCCAGTCCACACCGGCTTCTAAGTTTGCATTTTCTTAGCCAGTCCCTTCAGAGCAAGTGCTCTGCTGAGCAGAAACTGGTTCTTACTGGCTCACCTCTGAAGCCCCGTGCTGTGTGCACAGTAGAGGCTCAGAAAATATTTGAGAATGGCCACATGACTCCCTCTTTTGCAAGGGAGGAAACTGAGGCTTGGGTCAGAGAATTTGCCCAAGGCTGCAAGCCAACTCATCAACACAAGCCTGCAGCGCATTCCAGAAAGTGAAGCTCTAGCAAGAGAAGACCTGCCTTTCAATCCCAGCTCCATTATGTAGTGGCCCTGAGCCTCAGTTTCCTTATCCGTAGCATGAGCATCGGAAGAGCCACTCCCAAGGGTGGCCGTGAGGGTTGCTCAAGGCACCTTGCTGGCACAGCATAGGCACAGTGACAAGTGTGTTTCCCTTCCAGCACACTCTTGGGGAAAGAGGTGCTGAATTGGCCGGCCAGTGGCTCATGCCTGTAATCCCAGCACTTTGGGAGGCCAAGATGGGCAGGTCACAGTTCGAGACCAGCATGGCCAACATGGTGAAACGCTGTTTCTACCAAAAATACAAAGATTAGCTGGGCATACTGGTGCGTGCCTGTAATCCCAGCTATTCAGGAGGCTGAGGCAGGAGAATTGCTTGAACCCAGGAGGTGGAGGTTACAATGGGCCAAGTTCATGGCACTGCACTCCAGCATGGGTGACAGAACAAGTGAGACTCAGTTTAAAAAAAAAAAAAAAAAAACACCTGTAATCCCTGAATTGATCCTGCTGTCACACCTGGGAGAAGCTGTGAGGCTGGGGACAAAACCCTATTTATTATCTCCTCTGGGCACTCATGCTGTAAACCCAAGGCACATTCATAGTCCATCAGACTCCAGAAAGGGAGTAACTGAGTCACGGGTACCAGGCCCCCGCTGTTAACTCACTCATTTATTGGATGGACCCTCAGTTAGTGCCTATGGGCATAGGGTGAGGGCAGGGCGATGGGCATGTATCATTTCATTCCTGAGGGCATGTCCTGTGCTCACAGGTTTGTGGAATGAATGAATGAGTGAGTGAGCAACTGAATGAATACTAGGCATGGTAGGTGATCACGAAACAGCACAAAAGAGGAGCTAGGTGCAGTGGTGTATGTCTGTAGTCCCAGCTTCTCCGGAGGCCAAGACGGGAGAATCACGAGCCCAGGAGGTCGAGGCTGCAGTGAGCTATGATTGTGCCACTGCACTCCAGCCTGGGCAACAGAGTGAGACTCCATCTCTAAAAAATAAAATGAAATATTTTAAAGTAGCATAAAATATAACTGGAATCTACAGCCTAATGAGAAGGATGTCCCCAAATTATGAAGTAGCATGAGATAGTTGCTATTATTTATTTATTTTCTGAGATGGAGTCTTGCTGGGACTACAGGCGTGCACCACCACACCTGGGTAATTTTTTTATTTTTCGTAGAGACAGGGTTTCACCCTGTTGGCCAGGCTGGTCTCAAACTCCTGGCCTTAAGTGATCCACCCACTTCAGCTTCCCAAAGTGCTGGTATTACAGGCATGAGGCACCGTGCCTGGCCAGTTGCTATATATTTTTTAAGATGATATAATAAGATTAACTGAAGTGATTTTATTTTATTTTTTTTTGAGACAGTCTCGCTCTGTCACCCAGGCTGGAGTGTGGTGGCGTGATCTTGGCTCTCTGCAACCTCCACCTCCCAGGTTGAAGTGATTCTCCTGCGTCAGCCTCCTGAGTAGCTGGGACTACAGGTGCCTGCCACGACACCTACCTAATTTATGTATTTTTATTAGAGAGGGGGTTTCACCATGTTGGCCAGGCTAGTTTTGAACTCCTGACCTCAAGTTATCCTCTCGCCTTGGCATCCCAAAGTGCTGGGATTACAGGTGTGAACCACCACACCCGGCCAAAAGTGATTTTTTAAAGTTTATAATTCCATCCCCTTCAGCAGGCGCCTGTCTTTCCTGTTGGTGTTCAGTCTGCCATGTGCAGATGGACTGTGGTGGCTGATGGGCCTCTTAATAGGAACCATCCCATTCTGGTGCTTTGCTGTTGAACTGTCCCCATCCCGTCCCCAGCCTGGATGTCAGGGAGGCCAGCAGGACACCCCCTTTCTTTGGGACTCACCTGGGCTGATTTTGCAGACAGATTGCTTTTCAGTGATTCCTAGAGGATGCACATCGTTGGCGCTAACTCCCCATCTGCCTACTTCAAAAAAACATTTTTTTAAAATTATTTTTTTTGAGATGGAGTCTTGCTCTGTCACCCAGCCTGGAATGCAATGGCATGATCTCGGCTCACTGCAACCTCTGCCTTTCAGATTCAAATGATTCTCCTGCCTCAGCCTCCTGAGCAGCTGGGACTACAGGCATGCACCAGCACACCCAGCTAATTTTTGTATTTTTAGTAGAGATGGGGTTTCACCATGTTGGCCAGCATGGTCTCGATCTCTTGACCTTGTGATCCACGTGCCTCGGCCTCCCAAAGTGCTGGGATTACAGGCATGAACCACTGTGCCTGGTGTGTATTTTTTTTTTTTTAAATAGAAATGGGGTTTCATCATGTTGGCCAGGCTGGTCTCAAACTCCTGATCTCAAGTGATCCTCCCGCCTTGGCCTCCCACAGTGCTAGGATTACAGGCGTGAGCCATCATGCCCGACCCCACTTGCCCACTTTCCTCTTTAGGCTCTTCCAGCATTTCTTCCTTCCTGCCTACCAGCCTGTCTTCAGTGTATATTTGTCTAGGCACCCATCCTGTGCAGCTCATGTTGTGTATGGGAAATAACAATCATGTAAGTCTATCATATAAGATGTGGGGCTGCTGGGGAGAGAGGGCACCAGGTGCTACAAGAACAGACAATAGAAGAGACCTCTGTCAGACAAAGGACAGAGCAGGTGCTCCTGCCAGAGTGATATTAACCAACTCCTGAATGATGACCGGGAGCCAGCCTCCCAGAGAGTTAAGGGAACGACATGTGCAGAGGCCCTGAGGCAGGAAAATGTTGGGACACTGGATGAAGGCCAGGAAGGCCAAGGCATGGTGACCTGGGGCAGGGAGAGTAGGGAGAAGCAGAGTAGGAGGACTGGCCAGGCGCGGTGGCTCACGCCTGTAATCCCAGCACTTTGGGAGGCCGAGGCAGGCGGATCACGAGGTCAAGAGATCGAGACCATCCTGGCTAACACGGTGAAACCCTGTCACTACTAAAGTGACAGGCCACACCCCTATAAAGGCAGAGGATTTGGCGATTCCATTTTCTACAGTGAATCCTGGCGGACCATCCACTATTTAAATCTCTTTACAAGCTGAATGGTACCTGGGTGCCTGTGCTGCTCAGGGCTGGCCTCTGCCTTCAGGGCAGTCCAAGTAGGTAAGGTCAGGACATCAGTGATGATGGTGTGTGACATGTGGCACATCAGACTTCTCTGTGTGCTGGCCCAGGGAGGGCCTGGGGCATGGTGGGGTCGGCTACTCCCTGGGACATGGTCTTTGACCGTTTCATACATGAACCCCCTTTGAGAATCGAATCAAAGATCTAGACCTGCACTGTCCAGGTTGGCAGCCACTGGCCCCACATGGCTGTTGAAATTGACACCTGAAGCTGGGCGTGGTGGATCACGCCTGTAATCCCAGTCTTTTGAAGGCCAAGGTGGATCGCCTGAAGCCAGGAGTTCAAGACCAGTCTGGGCAATATAGCCAGACCTCGTCTCTATAAAAGATGTTAAAACTGGCCAGTTGTGGTGATATGAACCTGTAATCCCAGCTACTTGGGAGGCCAAGGTGGGAGTATCACTTGAGCCCAGGAAATTGAGGCTGCAGGGAACCGTGACTGGACCTCTGCACTCCAGCCTGGGTGATGAGACAAGGCAGGAAGGGAGGGAGGGAGGAAGGAAGAAGAGAGGGAGGAGGGAGGGAAAGAAAGAGGAAAGAAAAAGAGAATGAAAAGAAAAAAAGGAAAGGAAAGAAAAGGGGAAGGGGAAAAGGGAACTAATGGAAAGAAGGAAGGAAAGGAGGGAGGGAGGGAGGATGGAAGGGAGGAAGGGAGGGAAGAAGGAAGGAATGGAGGGAGGAAGAAAGGAAGGGAAGGGAGGGAGGGAGGGAGAAAGGAAGGAATGGAGGGAGGGAGGAAGGAAAGGAAGGAGGGAGGGAGGAAGGGAGAGGGAGAAAGGAAAGCAGGAAGGAGGGAGGGAGGGAGGGAGAAAGGAAAGAAGGAAGGAGGGAGGGAAGGAAAGAAATTTACACTTTAATCAATTAAAGTAAAATAAAATGATTCCGCTCTTAAGCGGCACTGACCACATTTCAAGAGCTGAGTGCACCACGTGGGGCATCTCAGCCGGAGCAGGGGCGGAAGGCATGCTCTGAGCTGGCCAGCTGCTGCACCTGTCCCTGCTGTCCCTGCCCCTCCAGTTCTGGATCATCCCCAGCATCCTGGGCAGCTCCAACCTCTACTTCTTGTCGGATGACGACTGGGAGACCATCTCTGCCTGGATCTACGGCCTCGGCCTCTGCGGCCTCTTCGTGGTGTCCACCGTGTTCCACACCATCTCCTGGAAGAAGAGCCACCTCAGGTGCCTCCTGCCCAGAGGACCCATGCCGGGTGGGGGCCTGGGGCAGGGGGGCCCACAACGGTCCCAGGGGTGAACCAGGACACCAGGTCTGCCTGGGGACATTCTCCGCTGAGCTGGGAAGGGCTGGGGTGGGTGACCCACGGGATGGCTTTGCAGAAGGCACAAGCCCTGCCTTATTTAGGCTGCAGTTGGGTCTCTTCTGGGCAGACCACCTCGCCCACAGGAGCCTGGTTTGCTTACTTCTTTTTTTTTTTGCCTTGAGATGGAGCCTCGTTCTGTCCCCCAGGCTGGAGTGCTGTAGCCTGATCTCAGCTCACTGCAACCTCTGCCTCCTGGTTCAAGCAATTCTGCCTCAGCCTCCCAAGTAGCCGGGATTACAGGCACCCGCCACCCTGCCTGGATACTTTTTATGTTTGTTTTTTTGTAGAGATTGGGTTTCACCATGTTGGCCTGGCTGGTCTCAAACTCCTGACCTCAGGTGGCCTGCCCACGTCGGCCTCCCAAAGTGCTGGGATTACAGGCATGAGCCACTGCACTTGGCCAACTTATTTATTTTTTTTCTGAGACAGAGTCTCAATCTGTTGCCCAGACTGGAGTGCAGTGGTACAGTCTTGGCTCACTGTAGCCTCTGCCTCCAGGGCTCAAGCGATTCTTCTGCCTCAGCCTCCTGAGGAGCTGAGACCACAGGTGTGTGCCATCATGCCCGGCTAATTTCTGTATTTTCTGGAGAGATGGGATTATGGGATTTCACTATGTTTCCCAGGCTGGCCTCCAGCTGATGGGCTCAAGCAATCCACCCGCCTCAGCCTCCCAAAGTGCTGGGGTTACAGGGATGAGCCTTCATGCCTGGCTTGGTTTGCCTGCTTCTGAGAGGACCAGGAGAAAAGGCCTTGCTGGCTGAGGCCGGCTCCTCTCCAGGCCTTGTTCCAGGTATGCTGCAGGTGCCATTTTCTCATCTTTTCAATAATTCTGCAATGTGGGGATTCGAATCCCTGAGTTTTATGGTTTTGATTTTTTTTTTGAGATGAGGTCTCACTCTGTCTCCCAGGCTGGAATGTGGTAGCATCACCTTGGTTCACTGCAGCTTCCGCCTCCAGGGCTCAAGTGATCCTTCTACCTCAGCATCCTGAGTAGCTGGGACTACAAGCATGCACCACCGCATCTAGCTAATTTTATGTATTTCTTGTAGAGATGGGGTTTTATCATGTTGCCCAGGCTGGTCTCAAACTCCTGGGCTCAAGCAATCTACCCTCCTTGGCCTCCCAAAGTGCTGGGACTACAAGTATGAGCCACTGCGCCCATCTAGTTTTGATATATATATGAAAAAAAAAGTACAGTGAAGCTGGGAGAGGTGGCTCATGCCTATAATCCCAACACGTTGGGTGGCCGAGGTGGGAGAATCACTCGAGGTCAGGAATTTGAAACCAGCCTGGTCAACATGATGAAATCCTGTCTTTGCTAAAAATAAAAATATTAGCCAGGCACAGTGGTGCACACCTGTAATCCCAGCTACTTGGGAGGATGAGGGACGAGAATCGCTTGAACCTGGCAGGCAGAGGTTGCAGTGAGCCAAGATGGTGCCACTGCACTCCAGCCTGGGCAATGGAGCGAGACTCTGTCAAGAAGGAAGTAAGGAAGGAAGGAAAGAAGGAAGAGAGGGAAGGAGGGAAGGAAGGAAGGAAGAGAAGGAAAGGAAGAGAGGGAGAAAAGGAAAGGAAGGAAGGAAAGAAGGAAGAGAGGGAGGGAGGGGAGGAAGGAAGGAAGAGAAAGAAAGGAAGAGAGGGAGAGAGGGAGAAAAGGAAAGGAAGGAAGGAAAGAAGGAAGAGAGGGAGGGAGGGAAGGAAGGAAGGAGAGAAAGGAAAGAAACCTTATTGCTGAAGGTTGCATAGCAGCCAAATGCAACGTGAGCTGACTCCAGGAATCCAGCCCCCCATAAAGCTGTGTGCTGCCCCCTTTAATTTCTATGAAGATATGCAGTTGAGCCATGCATACAATCATTGGTCAAATTTGTTCAGGGCTGCAGTTTGCTAGACAGAACAACAGTTGTATTGGTCAGGGACTGCTGTGTAACAAAGTATCCCAGAACATCGCGGCTTAAATAAGGAGAAACACTTAATCTCTCTCAAAGCCTCAGAGGGTTAGGAATTTGAGAGCTTTAGCTGTGTAGCTCCAGTTCGTGGTGTCTCCCGTAGTCAGAGGTTGGCTGGGGCTGTTGTCAGCTGTCATCTAATGGCTTGACCAGCACTGGAGGTCTAAGCCCACTCACAGTTAGTGCTGGGTTGTAGTGCGGCTGTCTTCACAGCCACATGGGAGCTTGTTTGCCTCAAACTTAGCGACTTAATTGAACAAGGTGGAAGCTCTAATGTCTTTTATTATCTGGCTTCAGAAACTAGACACCATCATTTCTGCAATGTCCTACTGGTTTCCTGAGTTAATCCTAGTTTTTTCTGGGAGGGGAGGGTCCCAAGGTGTGAATATCAGGAGTGTGGCTTATTGGGCAACATTGTGGAGGCTGGCACCATGCCAGTCCCATGTATTGAGGGTTATTGCTCACTATACAAAGTGAGGTCATCATAAAAATGGCTGGTGTTTATTGACCACTTACTATGTACTGTGCTGTTAGCTAATTTAATCCTCCCCACAGCCCTGCATTGGTTTGCTGGCATCCTCTGTATTTACAGAGGAGGAAGCTGAGACCTAGAGTGAATAGGTAACTTGTTCAAGTTGTGCACTCCTGAAGCATAGAGCTGGAATTCAAACCCAGGCCTTCTGGCTCCAGAGCCTGGATTCCAGCTACTAAGTTCTTCTAACACAGAATGTCAGCTCCCAGACTCTTTTGAGGAGGACATAATTTAGTAGTTTTTGATCTTTTTTTTTTTCTTGAGACAGGGTCTAGCTCTGTTGCCCAGACTGGAGTACAGTGGCACAAACATGGCTTACTGCAGCCTCAACCTCGCAGGCTCAAGAGATCCTCCTGCCTCAGCCTCCTGAGTAGCTGGGTCTACAGGTGCACACCATTATCCTGGCAGATTTTTTTAACTTTTAGTAGAGATGAGGTCTCACTTTGTTGCCCAGGCTGGTCTCCAACCCCTGAGCTCAAGCAATTCTACCTCAGCCTCCCAAAGTGCTGGAATTACAGGTGTGAGCCACTGCATCTGGCTGTTTTTGCACTTTCTCCACAGAATTATTTCTCCATTTGAAATCTTTGCAAAAACCCCATATATAAAGCCGAAATACACAATGGCTCAGCTTAATGTAGGGGAGGATGGCGGGGCATGATGGCTCACACCTGTAATCCCAGCACTTTGGGAGGCCAAGATAGGTGGATCACGAGGTCAGGAGTTCAAGACCAGCCTGGCCAACATAGTAAATACCAAAAATACAAAAATTACCCAGGTGTGGTGGTGAGCATCTGTAGTCCCAGCTACTCGAGAGGCTGAGGCAGGAGAATTGCTTGAACCCAGGAGGTGGATGTTGCAGTGAGTTGAGATCATGCCACTGCACTCCAGCCTGGGAGACAGAGCGAGACCTTGTCTCAAAAAAAAATGGGGAGGAGGATGTACGATCCTTACCTTCAGGGGTGTAAGGCCTTCAGTGGGACTCCCAAGGCAAGGTGTCTCCATGCAGCCTCTAGGGTGATAAGGAGCCTGGTTTGGAGACTGCTGCCCTGGTCACTTACAGATAGGGATTCTAGGGCCAAGGGGTCCTGGCTGGATAGAGGAGCCCACCCCTGCTAACCTGCAGGCAGGTGCGATCAGCCCAGGGCACGGCTCTGGGGGCTCTGGCCCTTCCCTGCCACGCAAGGGCCATGACCGCTGGCTTCTCTGCTGCCCTAGGATGGTGGAACACTGTCTGCACATGTTCGACCGGATGGTCATCTATTTCTTCATAGCAGCCTCCTACGCGCCCTGGTGAGTACCATCCCGCTGCCCAGCAAATGCTCGGAGGCCTTTCTTTTCATCGTTTGAATTTATTTTTCTATTTGGCTGGGTAATATGTTGACTTGGCACAGAGGAGTCAGGGGAAAAGCTTCCTGACGCCCTTTTCTCCTTCCTGGAAGCAGCTACTTATACCCACTTTCTTGTGTGTCCTTCTTGAGTTATTTTATTCAGAGAAAAGAAAAATGCACCTTTTTTTAAATTTTTATTTTTTTTAGAATTCTGAGACAGAATCTCACTCTGTCACCCAGGCTGGAGTGCAGTGGCACAATCTCGGCTGACTGCAACCTCCGCCTCCCAGGTTCAAGCGATTCTCCTGCCTCAGCATCCTGAGTAGCTGGGATTACGGGCTTCCACCACCATGCCTGGCTAATTTTTGTATTTTTAGTAGAGATGGGGTCTTGCCATGTTGGCCAGGCTGGTCTTGAACTCCTGACCTCAAATGATCTATCTGCCTTGGCCTCCCAACGTGTTTGGATTACAGGTGTGAGCCACTGCACCCATCCAGAAAAGCAAATATTAATATGTAATATTTGTCTCTCTATATATAGACATATGCATATTTGCAATAGACATGTTATATGCATATGTATATAGACATGTATATGCATGTGTCTATATATACATATAAATGTGTAACAGACATAGACATGTGCATACATATATACTTATATTTATTTACTTAATATATTATTTAATATGGCTTTTAAGTTTTTAATTGTTCTTTTAGAGACAGGGTCTCACTCTGTTGCCTGTGCTGGAATGCAGTGTTGTGAACATAGCTCACTGCAGCCTCCAACTCCTGGGCTCGAGTCATTCTCCCTCCTCAGCCTCCCAAGTAGCTGGGACTGCAGGTTGCTTGGCCGCTATTTTTATTTTTGCAGGTTCTCACTACGTAGCCCAGGCTGGTCTTGAACTCCTGGCCTCAAGCCATCCTCCTGCCTCTGCCTCAGCCTCCCAACGTATTGGAGTACAGGCATGAGCCATTGTGATGGCCTCATTTTATAAATATGTGTTCATTTTGTTTTTATTTTTTTGCTTTGTTTTCGTTTTTGAGATGAGTCTCGTTCTCTCCCCCAGGCTGGAGTGCAGTGGCTCAGTCATGGCTCACTGCAACCTCTGCCTCCCAGGTTCAAGCTGTTCTCCTGCCTCAGCCTCCTGAGTAGCTAGGATTATAGGCAGGCACCACCACACCTGGCTCATTTTTGTATTTTTAGTGGAGACAGGTTTTCACCACGTTGGCCAGGCTGGTCTCAAACTCCTGACCTCAGGTGATCCACCCACCTTGGCCTCCCACAGTTCTAGGATTACAGGCATGAGCCACCATGCCTGGCCTGGATTTCTCTTCTTTAGCCCTGGCTGTGATTGATTAGGCACTGCCCTGTGCCAGGCCCTATGCTGGTATCTGAGGGCATTATGACCAAAAAAAGCCCCAGCTTCCTCTCCTTGTGGGAAAAAAAAGAAAAAGAAAAAAAGGCTACTGAAAACCAAATACTGAAAGTTTTGTATAATCAGGGAGAATACAGACATATTAAAGCAATCAGAGAGAAGCTGATAAAAATGAAAGACAGAGACAAATTCTTCAGGCTTCAAGACTGAAAAAATAAATTATTTGCACAGTGAAAAAAGAAGCTGGCTTCTGAACATGGCCACAGCACCATTTAATGCTGACACACAGTGTAGACGCTTCTAATAATTTCCCAAAGGTAGACTTAGAGGAAACATCAAGCGTGATTATAATGCACACGTAAAAACAACAGGCACCATGTCACACATGAAAGAAGTCCAAGAGGCTGGGCGCAGTGGCTCATGCCTGTAATTCCAGTGCTTTGGGAAACCGAGGCGGGCGGACCACCTGAGGTCAGGAGTTCAAGACTGGCCTGGCCAACATGGCAAAACCTGGTCTCTACTAAAAATACCAAAAGTTAGCCGGGCGTGGTGGTAGGCACCTGTAATCCCAGCTACTCTGGTGGCTAAGACAGGAGAATTGCTTGAATCTGGGAGGCAGAGATTTCAGTGAGCCAAGATCAAGCCATTGCACTCCAGCACAGGCAACAAGAGCGCAACACCGTCTAAAAAAAAGAAAGCCAAGAATACAGTACCCATGAGGAGTTTTTTAAAGAAACTAGTTTGTGATGGCACATGCCGGTAGTTCCAGCTACTCAGGAGGCTGAGGCAGGAGGACTGCTTGAGCCCAGGAAGTCGAGGCTGCAGTGAGCTATGATTGTGCCACAGTACTCCAGCCTGGGGTTTAAAGTGAGAACCTGTCTCTAAAAAAACGAACTAACAAAAAACCGGAAACATGTAATTTAAAAAATTCAACTTTCTTTTTTTTTTTTTTTCCGAGTGTTTTGCTCTTGTCGCCCAGGCTGGAGTGCAATGGAGCAATCTTGGCTCACTGCAACCTCTGGCTCCCAGGTTCAAACAATTCTCCTGCATCAGCCTCCCAAGTAGCTGGGATTATAAGTGCATGCCACCACACCCAGCTAATTTTTGTATTTTTAGTGGAGATGGGGTCTTGCCATGTTGGCCAGGCTGGTCTGGAACTCTTGACCTTAGGTGATCGACCTGCTTTGCCCCGCCAAAGTGCTGGAATTACTGGCGTGAACCACTGTGCCCAGCCGAAAATCCAATTTTCTTGTGCTTTACATAATTTATCTTCAGAGTCAAAGTGAATTTTATGGTGAAGAAACATTTGTTTGACGTTTAGGAAAACTTTCAGGTGTCCATTTTCTTCTTTTAAAGTCAAGTTAAAATTAAATGTAATACTTTTAACTAAAAATGATAAGTTAATTCTCACCCCTCTCCTTTCCCTTAATCCCATCCTATCCTACCCAGTGGCCTGTTTTTAGCTTGGAAGGGTATGTAGAATGATGTTCACTGATGGTTATTTTGGGTAATGAGATGGGTTATTATTTTTTACCCTTACACTTTTCAATGTTATTTAACTTCTTTATAGTGACAGACTCTGAGCAGGTCACTTTTTTTTGGCAGAAGTTTACATAAGACATTCTCATTTCAGAAATTCATTTCAGGGCAGGCGCAGTGGCTCAGGCCTATAATCCCAGCACTTTGGGAGGCCAGGCAGCCTCCTGAGGTGGTGGGAGGTGGATCGCCTGAGGTCAGGAGTTTGAGACCAGCCTGGCCAACATGGTGAAACCCCGTTTCGACTAAAAATACAAAAATTAGCCAGGCATGGTAGTGGGCGCCTGTAATCCCAGCTACTCAGGAGGCTGAGGCAGGAGAATCGCTTGAATCTGGGAGGCGGAGGTTGCAGTGAGCCCGAGATTTCGCCACTGCACTCCAGCCTGGGCGACAGAGTGAGACTCTGCCTCAAAATAAATAAATAAAATAGTAAAATGACGTAATAAAGTAAAACAGCATTGCCGGAACTGCAGTGACCAAGAATGCACAGGTGCCCTCCAAACAGGCTTTACTCGTTCATAGTCCCACCAGTTTGAGGCGCCCCTTACCTTTTCTCCTAGGTATTATCAGTTTTGCTAATTTTCCTCTAACTGTTCCTTGCTGTTTTAGTTTGTCTAGCGCCCTTTCTGCCTGTTCACCCGTCTTCCTGTGAGCGCCCCCATCCCAGCCGTGAAGCCACAAGTGACAGGGCTTCCCTGGGATCTGTTTCCTGTGACAGGCCAGCCCTTGAGGGCAGGGGTCCTGGTGGGCCCCGCCTCAGGCCATGGCTTTGGCTCTCTCTCTCTCAGGCTAAACCTCCGGGAGCTGGGCCCCTGGGCTTCCCACATGCGCTGGCTGGTCTGGATTATGGCTTCCGTGGGCACCATCTATGTCTTTTTCTTCCACGAGAGGTAAGCTAGGCTGAAGAGGGGGCTTCAGGGAGGCGGGCTTCAAGGAGGCGGGATTCTTTTTTTTTTATAAGAGATGCTTGGGCCTCCCCAGTGCTCCTGGGCACCCGAGAGCCCAGGATGATACCATAATCATGAGAGCCTAGCTCTGGCTGGCATGCCATTCAGGCTCAGGGATGGCCACCAGTATTGCAGCCCCTGGGGTCAACCTCAAGTTGTCAAAAAGACATCATAGGTGGCCAGGCGCGGTGGCCCACACCTGTAATCCGAGCACTTTGGGAGGCCAAGGAGGGTGGATCACTTGAATTCAGAAGTTTGAGACCAGCCTGGCCAACATGGTGAAAACCCGTCTCTATTAAAAATACAAAAATTAGCCAGACATGGTGGTGGGTGGTGGGTCCCAGCTACTCAGGAGGCTGAGGCAGGAGAATGGTTTGAACCTGGGAGGTGGAGGTTGCAGTGAGCCAAGATTGCACCATTGCACTCCAGCCTGGGCGACAGAGTGAGACTCTTATCTTTAAAAAAAAAAAAAAATCATAGGTTCCTAGCCCCACTGAATGGGCGGGTGGGGGGGGTGTCACATGCCACCTGCCCTTCTTAAACTCTTAGCAGATGGAGGGGAGAGGTCCCGAAAGAGTCACAGTCTCTGTACCCCATACTGCCGAGTGATGGGGATGGAAATAATTCAGTGGAGAAAGAAACAGGATAATAGAAGCAAAAGAGAATATAACAGGCTTCCACAGTCTCAGAGCCCAGAATTTCCGGAAGTCATTTAGTCCAGGGACAGCAGAGAGGCTTCAGTTGCTGCAGCAGCCCAGCTCGATTGGAAGTGGCTGATCCGGCCCTGTGGGAAGAGATGCTAGGACTGGATAGTGATGGGGCCACAGGCTGAGCATTGGGAGTCCCCACATGTGTGCTATGCTCAATGTTTGCCATCCCTTCTCTGGCTCCTGCATGCATTTTACAGAAGTGGAAACTGAGTCTCAGGGAGGAAAAGTGCCCAAGGTCACACAACTGCCAGCACCTGTTGGATGTAGCTGGGTGAAATCTGAGCCAAGGCTAGACAGAGAAAGCATCTTTTTTTCTCATTTTTCTGGCCAGAGTGTTCCCTCTTCCCCAGGAACAGGGAGCTCTGTGTGGCTTCCTCATAGGGAGGCACGTCCTAAGGCCAGCATGCCTTGTCTTTCTGCCAGGTACAAACTTGTGGAGCTTCTCTGCTATGTTGTGATGGGTTTCTTCCCTGCCCTGGTCATCCTCTCCATGGTAAGTGTTGGCTGCCCTGTGAGGATGGGTCCTTGCAGGGGACCAAGAGTGTCCAAGTTGGACATAACTGTTGAGATTGTCATAAACTCTCTCCTTTGGCAGATGGGGAAACTGAGGCCTGGCATGACGTGTCTAAAGAGGCAGTAGGGCAGGCGCAGTGGCTCCTGCTTGTAATCCAGTCCTTTGGGAGGCTGAGGTGGGAGGATAGTTTGAGTCTAGGAGTTTGAGAGCAGCCTGGGCAACATAGCAAGACCCATCTCTGCCAAAAAAAAAAAAAAATAGCCAGATGTGGTGCACACCTGTAGTCTCAGCTATCCTGGAGGCTGAGGCAGGAGAATCACTTGAACCCAGGAGGCAGAGGTTGCCATGAGCCGAGATCGTGCCACTGCATTCCAGCAGGGACAACAAAAGTGAAACTCTGCCTCAAAAAAAAATTTTTGTTTGTGGAGGCAGGGTCTCCCTGTGTTGCCAAGGATGGTCTCGAACTCTTGGCCCTGTGAGGTCTTGGCAGGTTCTTCTTGCTCGATCCCCTCCTGTTCTACAACTGTTTCTCTCTCTCTTTCTTTCTTTCTTTTTTTTTAGAGATGGGGTCTCACTGTGTGGACCAGGCTGGTCTTGATCTCCTGGGCTCAAGCCCACCTTGGCCTCCCCAAGTGCTAGGATTACAGGCGTGAGCCACCGCCCCTGGCAGAGAGTTTCTTTTACTAAGAACAACTCGTGTTAATAGTACCACATCTGGGGACTAGGACTACTACTTCTTCTTACCACGTTTTTTTCTCTAAATATTTTTTGCCATGAAGAAAACAATTTTTGTTTTCTCTACTTTTTTTTGCCACGCCATTACTTTAAACATTTGTGGTAAAATCTTCAGTTCAGTGGCACATTCACTGTCATGGAACCGTCAGCACCATCCATCTCCAGAACTTTTTGCATCTCTGCAAACTGTAACTCTGTCCTCATTTTTTTTTTTTGAGATGGAGTCTTACTCTGTCACCCAGGCTGGAGTACAGTGACATGATCTTGGCTCACTGCAACCTCCACCTCCTGGTTCCCGGTTCAAGCGATTCTCCTGCCTCAGCCTCCTAAGTAGCTGGGATTACAGGAGCACACCACCATGCCCAACTAATTTTTATATTTTTAATAGAGACGAGGTTTCACCATGTTGGCTAGGCTGGTCTTGAACTCCTGACCTCAGGTGATCTGCCTGCCTCAGTCTCCCAAAGTGCTGGGATTATAGATGTGAGCCACTATAACAATAGCTTTTCTTCCCCCTTGCCCCAGCTCCTGGCAACCACCATTCTGCTTTCTTCCTCTCTGAATCTGACAACTCTAGGAACCTCATATAAGTGGAATCATACAGTATTTGTCCTTTTGTGACTGACTTATTTCATTCAGCCCAATGTTGCCAAGGTTTACTTATGTAACATGCATTAGCATTTCTTTCCTTTTTAGGGCTGAATACTATTTCATTGTATGGATTGAGCTCATTTTGTTCGTTCATTCCTTGGTAGACACCTGGGTTGCTTCCACCTTTTGCTGTTGTGTTTACGCTGTGATGAACATGGGTTTGCAAACATCTGTCAAGACCCCACTTTCAATTCTTTGGGTATATACCCAGACGCATTATAGGTGTACCAAAGATAAGCTATAGGGCGGGGACAGTGGCTCACACCTGTATTCCCCAGCACTTTGAAAGGCCAAGGTGGGTGGATCACCTGAAATTAGGAGTTTGAAACCAACCTGGCCAACATGGCGAAACCATCTCTACTAAAAATACAAAAATTAGCTGGGTGTGGTGGTGCACGCCTGTAGTCCCAGCTACTTGGGAGGCTGAGGCAGGAGAATTGCTTGAACCTGGGAGGTGGAGGTTTTAGTGAGCCAAGATCTCACCACTGCACTCTACCTGGGTGACAGAGCAACTCTGTTTCAAAAAAAAAAAAAAAAAAGAAAGAAAGAAAGAAAGAGAGAGAGAGAGAGAAAGAAAGAAAGAAAGAAAGAAAGAAAGAAAGAAAGAAAGAAAGAAAGAAAGAAAAGAAAGAAAAGAAAAGTTATAAAAAATGTTACTTGAGGCTGAGTGTGGTGGCTAGCACCTGTAGTGCCAGCACTTTGAGAAGCCCAGGTGGGAGAATCACTTGAGCTAGGAGTTTGAGAGCTGCCTGAGCAACATAGTGAGCCCGCCTGCCATCCGCCCCCGTCTCCAAAAATAAAATAAAATTAGCCAGGCATGGTGGCGTCATGGGACGTCTGTAGTCCCAGCTACTGGGGAGGCTAAGGCAGGAGGATCACTTCAGGCTTTGGAGGCTGCAGTGAGCTACACCTGTGCCACTGTACTCCACCTGGGGCGACAGACCAAGAACATGGCTCAAGAAAAAAAAAAATGGTGAGATTTTAATAGAAACGAAAATGTCTGTCCTCTGAGAACTAGTCTGCGGAGAATTGCTGGTGTATCAGTGTGAAGGCTTCCCACCTAGGAGTCTGGGCTGGTTTGCCATCTGTGTGTCTTTTGGTTTTGGGGAATGGGGACCAGCTGATGCTTCCAGACACACTGGCTGCTCTTCTGACCTGTGCCCCACCCTTGTCCTTGCCGACAGCCCAACACCGAGGGCATCTGGGAACTGATGACCGGAGGGGTCTTCTACTGCCTGGGCATGGTCTTCTTCAAGAGTGACGGGAGGATCCCCTTTGCCCACGCCATCTGGCATCTCTTTGTGGCATTTGGTGCTGGTACCCACTACTATGCCATCTGGAGGTACCTCTATCTGCCCAGCACCCTGCAGACCAAGGTGTCCAAATGAGGTGACCCAGACTCCAGAGGTCGTTTGGGCTTCAGGAGCGGAGCACCACAGGAAGCGTTTCTGCGAATGTTAACCCAGAGCACAGCACCAAGGCCTGTCTTCCCTTCACTGGGTAGAGTTCTTCATGGTTCTCAGGTGACTTTTGGTGCCAGCCAGATCGGCCCTCGAGTCCCCAGCGAGAAAAGAAGCATTTAGCCATTCTTACAGAGAAGAAATTAACCCTGTAATGTGTTTCTATTTTAGATGAGTGTTTCCTAATACAAGCAACATTAACATCTTTAGGAAAGGAAGCAGGCGTGGTCCTGGAAAATTGGGGAATGGTGAGCCAATCTGTTTCTTAAGATCCTGAGGAATCTGGCAAGGAGTCCTGTGGGTTGTGTATACCTGGTGGCCAGAGCCTCCCTCTCTGCTACCAAAGTCCAGGCTGGGGAATTGTCTCCAGTTCAGGGAAAGGGGACAGCCCAGCTTGTAGATGAGGGATGGTGAATGGCTGTGACCATGGCAGACATCACCAATCAAGTGCAGCACGTGGGTGATGTCAGAATTCTTCCCAGTACAGTGTTCTGGGCAGCCAGTACCAATCAATTTGGCACTCACTATGGAACCTCTTTGCCCTTCCTATCTAGTATGCTGTAAATGGGATCTTGGCCAGAGTAACTGAAAATCTCCGTATGGAGATTTGCATGCCTACCTCCTCATCTCCCCCTCCCTTTTGGGAAGCTCCTGGAGTAGGCAGTTTGGGGGCAGTAGAGGGAAACTGAGGCACACACCCATGCAGCCCGTGACATTCTGTTCCACCGTATTTGGTTCTCAGTATAGTTGGGGATGAGGATGCTGTTACTTGGCCATTTCTTCCCATCTCCCAAAATCCAGAGACGTTACAAGAGCCAGTCTTTTATAATATGGGGCAAATATAATAATATGGGGCACTTGCTCCCTGCTCCATACTTAAGGTTGGTGATGCAAACATTTGGATTCTGTCTTGGTGCCAATCAGTGGCTGTTAGAGGTGACTCAAGTGTGCCCCAGAGGGAAGTCACACGGATCTGGGGAGACTGTTCCAGATCCCCTCAAACTCCAAAGTGCCCAGTAGCCCAACAACAAGACTTCCGAGGGTCTATTATTTAGTCCCTGTCAGGGCGGGGCCAGCCTCTCTGTCCAATGCTGCCTGGATGTTTACTGGGGAGGTGAGTAGCAGTCCCAGCTCCAAGACCTGAATTGGAATCTCAGATTCTCTGGATAAAGAATTTGTCTCCAATGGGCAAGGTGGCTCACGTCTGTAATCCCAGCACTTTGGGAGGCCAAGGTGGGCGGATCATGAGGTCAGGAGTTCGAGACCAGCCTGGCCAACATGGTGAAACCCCGTCTCTACTAAAAATACAAAAATTAGTTGGGCGTGGTGGTGTGCCCCTGTAATCCCAGCTAGTTAGGAGGCTGAGGCAGGAGAATCGTTTGAACCCAGGAGGCAGAGGTTGCGGTGAGCCAAGATTGTGCCACTGCACTCCAGCCTGGGCAACAGAGCAGTGAGACTCTGTCTCAAAAGCAAACAACAACAACCACAAATCTGTCTCAAGTCAGGAGGTCCTCATTCAGAGTGGGGTGGGCACAAACAGGATGCCTTATGCCTATCTCTAGCACATTCCAGGGGGTTCTGGGGCTCCTACACCTGGAATCCTGTGTATCCAAGCCAGTGTTAAATCATCTCGACACATTCCATAGACCAGATGGCTTCTGAGCTGGGAGATGCTGTGTGAATAGCTTTTGTCTTCCTGCCCATTTGTGTCTGTGTATATGGTGCATGTGTATGCACACGTGTGCCTACACAGTCACTCCTAATGCCTGGAAGCTGTCTTCAGTAAGCCTGCCCTGTGGAGCTCACCAAATATTTCCTGCCAGCTGGGGTCAGGGCTGGAGGTCAACAGGGAAAGTTTTTCAGGGGAGGGCTGACTGGGGAGAGACTTGCTCCCAATGGGGACAAAAACACTGAAAACTTGACCTCTGCCTGGGCCTGGGGCTGGGAGAGGGGGTTCTGTGGGTTCTGGGGTGCTGTTTAGGAGACCTCCCAAAGCATGCCAGGCTAAGATAAAAATCCTGTCATCAAGATGCTGATGGAGGCCAAAGCACCTTCCTGGGACCAGTGAATTGGGACTCCTCCCTCCCTCCCTCTCTCCCTCTCTTCCACCCTCCCTCTCTCCCTCTCTCCCTCTCTTCCACCCTTCATTCCTTCCCCCTCCCCTTCCTTCCTTCTTTCCTCTTCCTCCTTCACTTCTTCTTCTCCTTCTCTTTCTTCTTTTCTTCTCCTCCTTCATCTTCTTCCCCCTTTCTTCCCCTTCTCTGCTTTCTTCTTCTAAGATACTTTGACTTATTTCCCTATCTGGATGACTTAGGACTTCTTTAGTGACTCCATAGCCACTGCTGACTACTCTGCCTGGCACCTGCGCTTCCTGTGCCCCCTCCTGCTGGGCATCTGGGCTTGCATTTTTCCCCAGGACAGCCTGCCCCTTCACGCCCCTGGATCTTTGGAGGTGCTGGTCCTGCTGGTGGGAACTCTATTGTTCCTCTTGTCCACCCAACTTGCTCCTACTCATCCTTCAAAACCCAGCTCAGGCATCAGCACTGGGGAACTTCTGGCCTTCCTCTGACTTGGGGGCACCTCCTCTGCTTCCTGCCAGGCTCCTGCCCTCCTGCATCACGGCTCGGAGCCCCGTCCTTCATCACACAGGTACTTGAGTCGGTCCCAGACCTGGGAGCTCCTGGAGGGAGGGACTGAGTCTTGCTGTACTTGGAATCGAATCCAGCATAACTCCAGCATTTAGACAGTTTCCTAACCTCTCTAAGCCTCCGTGTTCTCAACTGCTAAATGGGCATAGTAAGGCAGCACTTTGCCGGCTGCTTGAAGATGCAGCAGGATAAAAAATGCACAACACCAGCCTGCTCTCCCTATTAGTTCTGTTGGCTTTCCAATAGAAAACAACCCCGATCCTGAAGATGACACATTTTCAGGGGTGTTGGCCAAAGGAATGAATCACTAATGGTGGAATTTCCAACTATAGCTAGTCTGGTGAGAACATGAAGGGCATTCCGAAGGGTTTTGGCCACATTTTCCCCCCTCATTCCAATTCAGGACATGCTTCCCATGAGCCTTTTCTCTTTCCCAGCATCATTCTGGAAGAGATTTTCCCAGGATTCCATTTTACCCAAGCCCAGACCCTGGATGTCCTCCGGAGGCTTTGGAAGGTAGTGCAGGAAAGGCAAAGAAGTTTTCCTAGGCCATTCTCTCCCGTGGGCAAGTCCCCGTCCTGGCAGCATTCTAGGCTGTGCATGGGGTGTGTGACATAGAGAGGGGTGCCGAGCATGGTGGCTCACGCCTGTAGGGCTGAGATGGGTGGATCACCCGAGGTCAGGAGTTCGAGACCAGCCTGGTCAACATGAGGAAACCCCATATCTACTAAACATGCAAAAATTAGCTGAGACCAGACGTGGTGGCTCATGCCTCTAATCCCAGCACTTTGGGAGGCTGAGGCAGGTTGATCACCTGAGGTCAGGAGTTCGAGACCAGCCTGACCAACATGGTGAAACCCTTTCTCTACTAAAAATAGAAAATTAACCCGGTGTGGTGGTGGGCACCTGTAATTCCAACTACTTTGGAGGCTGAGGCAGGAGAATTGCTTGAACCCAGGAGGCAGAGCCAAGATCATGCCACTGCACTCCAGCCTGGGCTACAAGAGCCAAACTCTTGTCTCAAAAAAAAAAAAAAAAAAAAAGTGAGGGTGCCCACTGGAAATTCAGACAGTAGCACTCTCTCCTTTCCGTCCCCGGGGCCGTGATGTTCCTGGTGACCCAGCAGAGCTGTGATCATGTCTTAGGAAGGCAGCAGGCTGGCCTGTGTGACATTCTGGGCTTGCCAGCATCTGCACCCGTGCTCAGTGCGCACTCCCAGGGCAGGATGAGTGATGACTGGCAGGAGTGGGGCAGGGTCCTGCTCAGCGGACTCACATTTGGGAGGGCAGCTGAATTAGTGGCCCCGGGAAACACACCTCCCATTCCCTGGCCGCGTGCCCAGCTGGGAGGACTTCCCTGTAAGGCCCAGATAGAGCTTGGCTAGGGCTGTCCCCAGGGTTGACAGCCTTCTGGTCAGGGAAGGGTTTGAGTCAGTGTCACAGACCAGAGCTGCCTTTCCCACTGGATTAGAAGCTGAAGGTGCAGTTTGAGCTGTGCTGAGCCTTCTCTGTTCCATCAGCATCAGGCTCCGCTGGGGAGAATCCTAGGATAGCGCTTGAGGGTGGGGAGTGGGAAGCAGAGATGGAAATTGCGAGTGGGCCCAGACTGGAGACCTAAAGCCACCTTGGTAGTGGACGGGACTGTGCACAGTGCATGGTGGGATGACAGCACTGAAGGCTTGCAGAACACTTTTACAGTCCCTGGTTTTCTGTTTCCCAAACTAACTTCCCTTCCCTCCCCTCCCCTCCCCTCTCCTTTCCTTACCTTTCCTTTTTTTGATGGAATCTTGCTCTGTTGCCCAGGCTGGAGTGCAGTGGTGCAATCTCGACTCACTGCAATCTCTGCCTCCTGCATTCAAGTGATTCTCTTGCCTCAGCCTCTTGAGTAGCTGGAATTACAGACATGCGCCACCATGCCCAGCTAATTTTTGTATTTTTAGTAGAGACGAGATTTCACCATGTTGGCCAGACTGGTCTCAAACTCCTGACCTCAGATGATCCACCCATCTCAGCCACACAAAGTGCTGAGATTACAGGCATGAGCCACCACACCCCAAATTCTCTGTCCCATGTCAGTTTGCAAAAGCTACAGAGCCCTTTCCTCTGTAGCCGATGCCTGAGCTGCTGCTACTGGGCTCAGGAAGTGGGAGGTGGGGGCAGTTTGGGCTGCTAAGTGTGCCCACTGGCTTCATGCACTGCAGGGGATGAGAAGGTGCAGGTGGAGCTCAAAGGGTCAAGAGATAGGCACTTACCAAATTTGCCACCATGTACAGTGTAACCAGATGCTGAAATGCAGGCTCTGGGGACAGCATCTGTAGGATTCAGAAAGAGCAGTGACAATCCCAGCAGCCACTCCCAGTGAGCATGCTGACGTCACAGGCATGGTGTTCAGCAGGTGTGAAGAGAAAGAGCTGGAAGCTGGAGCAGGCAGAGGCTCACCTGTCTGGGTCTCCTCCAGGGTGCCGGTCTTCCTTGGTGGTTTTATAGATGCTCTCTTCACTGATTCACACAGACTCCCCCATGGAGTAAGGATAATTTGCCGATATTAAAAAGCAAGAAGCCAAACCCCAGAGAGGTTTGGCGATTTTCCCAAAGGCACCCAGCTTCTAACCAGCAGAGCAAAGCAATGAAGCCAGGACTGTCTAACACCCAAGCCTCCTGCCCTTGGCCAGACCTGGCTGCTTGCAAGGAAACCCACTGCCTCCAAATATTTTGCCCAGGGAGGAAAATTGACCTTCAAAAAAAATTAAAGAATCTTTTTTTTTTTTGGCAGGGCACAGTGGCTCACACCTGTAAGCCCAGCACTTTGGGAGACCAAGGTGGGAGGATTACTTGAAGTCGGGACTTCGAGACCAGCCTGGTCAACATGGCGAAACCCTGTCTCTATCAAAAATATAAAAGATTAGCTGGGGTTGGTGGCGCATGCCTGTGATCCCAGCTACTCAGGTGGCTGAGGCAGCAGAATTACTTGAACCTGGGAGGCAGAGGTTACAGTGAGCCAAGATCACGCTACTGCACTCCAGCCTGGGCGACGCGACAGAGTGAGACTCTATGTAAAAAAAAAAAAAATAATAATAATAATGTGTTTTAAAACCTCTGGTGTGTAGCATTGCCAGTTTCCATGGTGTAAACACTCATGCCAGGGCCAATTCTGTGCAGCCGCAGAGGCATCGCTGAGGATGAAAAGGGACGTATATAATTGACAGTCGCAAATGCTGCAAGCCAGGTGCAGGCTGCTGCTGCTCCGCCACCTCCCAGTCATACCTCTCACGAAGCCCGGCCAGGGAAGTCAGGTGCAAAGTTGGTGACAACAAATCCAGCCCCAAAGGGTCCCTGTGTGGGGCCAGTTCTGTCACTGAGACGCTTAGGAACTGCATCGTAGGCGTCCAGAGTTTGGTGCCAGGTGGACCTGATCCAAATCCAGCTCTCCATAGACCAGTGTGCAAGACCCTTGGGCCAGTCCCTTATCCTCTCTCTGCCTCAGTTTTCTGATTTATGAAATGGAGATTACCATCCACAAGTGCTTTACACACAGGGTTTGAGTTTTTCTGTTTGGTCTTTATTTATTTATTTTTTGAGACAGAGTCTCGCTCTGTCACCAGGTTGGAGTGCAGTGGCATGATTTCGGCTCACTGCAGCCTCCACCTCCTGGGTTTAAGTGATTCTCCTGCCTCATCCTCCCAAGTAGATGGGACTATAGGCATGCGCCACCACACCCAGCTAATTTTTATATTTTTAGTAGAGACAGGGTGTCACCACGTTGGCCAGGCTGGTCTCGAACTCCTGACCTCGTGATCCGCCCACCTCAGCCTCCCAAAGTGCTGGGATTACAGGCGTGAGCCACCGTGCCCAGCCCTTATTTGGTTTTTAAAATTTTATTTGTTTATTTATTTATTGAAGCAGATTCTCTGTCACCCAGGCTGGAGTGCAGTGGCATGATCTCAGCTCATTGCAACCTCTGCCTCCCAGGTTCAAGAGGTTCTCCTGCCTCAGCCTCCCAATACCTGGGACTACAGGTGCCCACCACCATGCCTGATTAATTTTTGTATTTTTAGTAGAGGTGGGATTTCACCATGTTGGCCAGGTTGTTCCCAAACTCCTGACCTCAAGTGATATGCCCACCTCGGCCTCCCAAAGTGCTGGGATTACAGGTGTGAGCCACCGTGCCCAGCCTGTATCCCACTTTTAAAGTATCTTTTCATGTTATTTCAAGCTCTTTGTAAAGCTTATTTTAAAAGTTTACATTAAAAAAAAAAGTTTACATTGAATGGATGTGCCACAATTTATTTTGCCATTTTTGTAATTCAGGATGTATTTGTATATGTGTGTAGATAGTCTGTAATGAGGATATTTTGATATGAAGCCGATCCCTCCATTTTTTTTTCCCGAGATGGAGTCTTGCTCTATCCCCTAGCCTGGAGTGCAGTGGCATGATCTCAGCCCTCTGCGACCTCCGCCTCCCAGGTTCAAGCTATTCTCCTGCCTTAGCCTCCTGAGTAGCTGAAATTACAGGCATGAACCACCATGTCCAGCTAATTTTTTGTATTTTTAGTATAGATGGGGTTTCACCATGCTAGCCAGGATGGTCTCGATCTCCTGACCTTGTCATCCACCCACCTTGGCCTCTCAAAGTGCTGGGGTTACAGGTGTGAGCCACCGCACCCTGCCCAACCCTCCATATTTAAGGTATTTTTCCTAGGGCACATTAAGAAATTAGGTATAACTTGACTTCTGCTGACTGTACCCCCAGCCAGGGTTGCCATTCCGCCTGCTGTCACTGGACTGACCATTCTCCACACTTAGCACTTGTCTGCATTCCTGTGGAGTCTGGACATTCAGGGAGCTACTGCCAGAGAGCTGGTTTATCTGGAAGATCTAGAACAGTTAACTCTGGCACCAAGAGCAAGGTGTGGAGGGGAGGAGGCAAGAGGACTCCTGCCCTTGTCCTACTGCTGACCTGGTGGGCGGCAAAATAGGGAATATGGGTTGTGGAGGGGACACTGCTGGAGGGAGAGCCACGAGGGGTTTATGTGAGGAGGATATCCCATCCTGTCTCACGTTGCTTCACTGCTAGGGTGGGAAATGAGGAGTCATTGAAGGTATCAGTGTTCTTACATCCTTAGGATGCCCTGGAGACCGATTGTTACATATTCGGGCTTTAAAGTCATTAAAGGACTGGTAGGATGAAATTAACCAGGGTGCGAGTATTTACACCATGGCGATTTGCGAATGCTACACATCAGAGCCTCGTGTTTTTGGAGAGCTAATTTGCAGGCACACCACATGCTGTACCACATGCTCACGTCTCTGCACACCGTCCTCCTGACTAGTATAACAGATAATATATGCACTCATGAACATGCACACATTCACATCTCTGTTCTTGTATTTTGCTCTTCCAAAACCTGGCAAGATGAAATTGCCCTTTTATTTGTTTATTTATTGAGATAGTCTCACTCTTTCGCCCAGGCTAGAGTGTGATGGCACGATCTTGGCTCACTGCAACTTCCACCTCCTGGATTCAAGTGATTCTCCTGCCTCATCCTCCTGAGTAGTTGGGACTACAGGCATCCACCACCATGCCTGGCTAATATTTGTATTTTTAGTAGAGACAGGGTTTCATCATGTTGGCCAGGCTGGTCTCAAACTCCTGACCTCAAGTTATCCACTCACCTTGGCCTCCCAAAGTGCTGGGATGACAGGCATGAGCCACTCAGCCGAAATTACTGTTTTCCTGCTACATGAGGACACTGTGGTTGCTCAGCCAGGGAAGTGACTTGTCCAGGGTCATCTAGCTGGTGCAGGTGAGGCCTGGAATTCAGCTCATGGTCCTTGGGAGTCGCATGCTTCTTCTTTCCACAACACCAGGCTTGTTTGCTCCCAGATAGGCAAGCAGGTAAAAGCCATTTCCCTAAGTCCTCCTAGCAACCTGTGTCCTGATTGCTGGATCCCTGATTTTGTCAGTTCTTCCTGAGCTGTGAGAAGTCTGAGGATACAAACGCTGATGTTCTCTGCCTGTGCCTCCCATCAAGCCACCGCAGGGAACTGGAAAAGGCTGGAAGTCTCTCTGGTGGGCAAGGACACTTTGTGCCCAAAGCCTCCTGTGCAGCCTAGCAGCCTTTGCAACCTGAGCTCTGGGAAAGCCTTTTGTTTTGGGGGCTTGACTGGGCAGAAAGGAGGCCGTGGACCGTGGGTCTGTCTCCTATAGCATCCATCTCTGTGCAGAGCTTTCTCCACCAGCACCCACATGATAAAGGGCATTTAAATACCTTAACAAGGCTATATCTATATATCTATATCTACATCTCTATATATATTTTGAGATGGAGTCTCGCTCTGTTGCTCAGGCTGGAGTGCCATGGCCAAATCTCAGCTCACTGCAACCTCCACCTCCTGGGTTCAAGCAATTCTCTGCCTCAGCCTCTCGAGTAGTTGGGATTACAGGCGCACACCACCACGCCCGACTAATTTTTGTATTTTTAGTAGAGATGGGGTTTCACCATCTTGGCCAGCTGGTCTTGAACTTCTGACCTCGTGATCTGCCTACCTTGGCCTCCCAAAGTGCTGGGATTACAGGTGTGAGCCACCATGCCTAGCCGGCAATATTTTATTTAAAGACTTATGAGTGTGTACATAGAGAAGTGAGTGTTTTTATCCCTTGGGCATTTTGGGATGAGGATTTGGGACTCGGCGCAGCCATGACGGGTTATCACAGGTCTGTGAGCGGAGGTCCCTCTGCTCACACGCCTGCAGCTTGTCCTGACAACTTTCGCTTTGCAAATCTGGCTTCCTGATGGACATTCAAATGGGTTTTTGCCCTTGTTGCTGTGTTTAAAAAGGAGGGTGCGGCGGGTGCGGTGGCTCACACCTGCAATCCCAGCACTTTGGGAGCCCAAGGTGGGTGGATCACCTGAGGTCAGGAGTTTGAGACCAGCCTCACCAACATGGCGAAACCCCGTCTCTACTAAAAATACAAAAATAGCTTGGTATGGTGGCACATGCCTACAATCCTAGCTACTCAGGAGGCTGAGGCAGGAGAATCGCTTGAACCTGGGAGGTAGAGGTTGCAGTGAGCCGAGATTGTACCACTGCACTCCAGCCTGGAAAACAAGAGCAAGACTCTGTCTCAAAAAAAAAAAAAAAAAAAAAGAAGGTGCTACATCTTGGCTGGGCCAGCAGCCCTTACAGGGTGGGTGTTGGGTTTATCTGTATATCATGTGACTCGCCCATTTCATCACCTGGGGTTCAGGTGGCAAAGGTCAGCGTCTTCTGTTTACTACCATAGGGCAGTGTTCTTCAAGCCTTTTTGATGAAGAACCATACTAAGAAATAAATTTTCCAGACTGGGCACAGTGGCTCACGCCTGTAATCCCAACACTTTGGGAGGCCAAGTCAGGCAGATCACAAGGTCAGGAGTTCGAGACCAGACTGACCAACATGGTGAAACCCCATCTCTAGTAAAAATACAAAAAAAAATTAGCTGGGCATGGTGGCACACACTGTAATCCCAGCTACTCAAGTCGCTGGTAGGAGAGTCGCTTGAACCTGGGAGGCGGAGACTGTGGTGAGCCGAGATCGTGCCACTGCACTCTAGCCTGGTGACAGAGTGAGACTATCTCAAAAAAAAAAAAGAAACAGGGCTGACTTCGGTTTTGGTGATGTGCTCTGATATTTGCTGTCTTATCCTGTCCTAGCCTCATCTATTTTGGGTGCTACAACCAAAATGCCATAGACTGGGTGGATTATAAACAACAGGAGTTTATTTCCTATGGTTTTGGGGGTTGAGAAGTCCCAGAACAAGGAACTGGCAAGTTCAGTGTCTGGTGAGGGCTGCTTCCTGGTTCAAAGGTGGTGTTTTCTCATTGTGTCCTCCCATGGCCAACACAATGGGCAAAGCAGCTCTCTCAGGCCTCCTACGTAAGGGTGCTAGTCCCATTCATGAAGGTGCAGCCTCCCTGACCTAATCACCTTCCAAGGGCCTCCCTCCCTCCCTCCCTCCCTCCTTTCTTTCTTCTTTCTTTCTCTCTCTTTCTCTCTTCCTGCCCGTCTCCTTTCCTTTCCTTTCCTTCTTTCCTCCCCTCTCCTCCCCTTCCCTCCCCTCCCCTCCAAGTCTCACTTCATCGCCCAGGCTGGAGTGCAATGGCACAATCTTGGCTCAACCTCCGTCTCCTGGGTTTAAGTGATTCTCCTGTTTCAGCCTCCTGAGTAGCTGAGATTGCAGATGTGCGCCATGGCACCCGGCTAATTTTTGTATTTTCAGTAGAGATGGGGTTTCACCATGTTGGCCACTTCAAGGCTGGTCTTGAACTCCTGACCTCAAATGATTCACCTGCCTTGGCCCCCTCCCAAAGTGCTATGAATATGCCTGGCCCAAACGCTTCGTTTCTTAATACCATCACTTTGGAGTTCGGCTTTCAACCTAGAATCTGGAGGGACACAAACCCTAGCACCATCCAGTCTTATCCTATCCTATCCCATCGTATGTCATTGTTTCAAGTTGCTGGTTGCAACCCACCAAATTGCTCTGATGCCCCATGAGCGGGTCTGAATCCTCAGTTCTGGAAGCTGTTCTTGGTGGTACATTCCCAGAAAGCCACAGTTGCTGATAATAGGTGCTTAGTGTCTATTTGCTGCGATCAGCAGGGCTCAACATGGTGTCATACCTTGTGAGCCAGAGGGCCCCCAGGCCATATGGGGACAGGTAAGGAGAAAGAAATTAGGAGCTTCCAAGAATCTGGTTACCTAGAAGCCTGACCCCACTGGGAGGAATACAGGGTCACATTTTATGGGCTCTTGTTTCGGTGTTGGCTACATTCATGGGGGACCTTGGGGCTGAGTGGTCCTAGAGACTCAGTGGGCTGCGTGGCCCTGAGCCTATACCAGCATTAGGTCAGGAGGGTTGAGAAGGCAGGAGAAAGAGATTAAATAGGCCAGGTGCGGTGGCTCATGCCTGTAATCCCAGCACTTTGGGAGGCTGAGGTGGGCAGATCACTTGAGGCCAGGAGTTCGAGACCAGCCTGGCCAACATGGTGAAACACCATCTCTAGTAAAAATATGAAAATTAGCCAGGTGCAGTGGCAGGCACCTGTAATCCCAGCTACTCAGGAGGCTGAGGCAGGAGAATCACTTGAACCGGGGAGGCGGAGGTTGCAGTGAGTTGGGATTGAGCCACTGCACTCCAGCCTGGGTGACAGAGCGAGACTCCCTCTCAAAAAAAAAAAAAAAAAAAAAAAAGAAAGAAAGAGATTAAATACACTGGAGAAAGGAGGGCACCCAATTTTGGAAAGGCTACTCTGCCTCCCCAAGCATTTTCAAATTTCAGGCTCTGGCATTCATAGAATGCACTGCCCACCAGTCCTGTTTACACTGCCAGTTTCCGCTAGGAGCTCTTCCACTTCTGCAGGTGCAGGCCTTGCTGCTTCTTAAGGCCTTTCTCTGGGGTGGGGGGACGCAGAAACTATATGATTGTCTTTCATATTCACTTTTATAGACCTGTGATATCTACAACGTCTGAGCGTGGCATTTGCAGCATGACTTTTAAAAAATCCTGCTGGTGTTGGACCTTTTCTGTGTTTGTGAAATTGCTATTTTGTATTAACACAGTATTTGGTAAACATTTGTATTAAGAAGAATAATCCCTCTGCTGAATGTTATTGTTTCCAATGGAGTAGAAAGAACTTAAATTTAAAAAAAAATCAAGATGTTTCACTCTTGCCTAATAGTCTTTTTAAAAAATATATAGAAAGGAAATAAAAAGATTTATAAAAAGAGAAATCTTTTTATAAAAATGTTCTCTGTTCATTGTAAGAAAATGGGATGATTGAGGTTGGGTGTGGTGGCTCACGCCTGTAATTCCAGCACTTTGGGGGGCTGAGGCGGGGGATCACCTGAGGTCAGGAGTTCTAAACCAACCTGGCCAACATGGCAAAAGCCTGTCCCTACTAAAAATACAAAAATTAGCTGGGCTGTGGTGGTGTGCACTTGTAACTGCAGCTACTTGAAAGGCTGAGGCAGGAGAATCACTTGAATTTGGGAGACGGAGTTTGCAGTGAGCCAAGATCGAGCCACTGACTGGGTGACAGAGCAAGATTCTGTATCAAAAACAGAAAGAAAAAGAAAGAGGAAAGGAAGGGAGGGAGGGAGGGAAAGAGAGAGAGAGAAAGGAAGGAGGAGGGGTAGAGAGAGAGAGTTATTGCCGAAATATATGGGGTAAAAAAGAGAAAGAAAAAAGGAAAGAAACTGGAATAATTATTGCCGAAAGAAATGGGGGTGGACTAACACTAAAGAGAATGGGATATGTAGAAAAGACAAAGTGAAAACTCCCGTATTGGCTTCAAACAATAGTCATCCATGTGTTTTGTGGTTTTCACGTGCCAGGAATTAGAGCCTGGGCCTCGGCTAGAGGAGGTGGACGTGAGGCTGGAATCACTTGAAGGCATGTTCTTGCACGCATCTGTTGGTTAATGCTGGTGGCTGACTAGGAACCCAGCTGGAGAAGTTGGCCAAACACGCTGTTTTAAAATGTAGGTTTCAGGCCGGGCACGGTGGCTCAAGCCTGTAATCCCAGCACTTTGGGAGGCCGAGGCGGGTGGATCACGAGGTCAAGAGATCGAGACCATCCTGGTCAACATGGTGAAACCCCGTCTCTACTAAAAATACAAAAAAAAAAAATTAGCTGGGTATGGTGGCGCATGCCTGTAGTCCCAGCTACTTGGGAGGCTGAGGCAGGAGAATTGCCTGAACCCAGGAGGCGGAGGTTGCGGTGAGCCTAGATTGCGCCATTGCCATCCAGCCTGGGTAACAGGAGCGAAACTGCTTCTCAAAAAATAAATAAATAAATAAAATGTAGGTTTCAGCTGGGTACAGTGGCTCATGTCTATAATCCCAGCACTTTGGGAGGCTGAAGCAGTCAGATCACTTGATCCGAGGAGTTCAAGACCAGCCTGGGCAACATAGTGAGACTCCCATCTCTACAAAAAATAAAAATAAGTTAGCTGGCATGGTGGTGCCCACCCGGGGTCCCAGCTAACTTAGGGACTGAGGCGGGAAGATTGCTTCAGCCAGGGAGTCTGAGGCTGCAGTGAGCCGTGATTGTGCCACTGCATTCTAGCTTGGTGGTAAAACCTACATCATCATCATCATCACCATCGTTGTTATTATTTGAGATGGAGTCTCACTCTGTCACCCAGGCTGGAGTGCAGCGGTGCAATCTTGGCTCACTGCAACCTCCACCTCCTGGGTTCAAGCGATTCTCCTGTCTCAGCCTCCTGAGTAGCTGGGATTGCAGGTGCACGCTGCCACACCCAGCTAATTTTTTGTATTTTAGCAGAGACAGGCTTTCACCATCTTGCCCAGGCTGGTCTCGGACTCCTGATCTCAGGCAATCCACCCACCTTGGCCTCCCAAAGTGCTAGGATTATAGGCATGAGCCATGGCCTGACCTATTACTTATCTTTGAGACAGGAAAGCAAGACCCTGTCTTAAAAATAAATAATAAACATGTAGGTTTTACCATGAATCAGGTATGGCGAGACCAACAGATCGTGCAACAAGCGCCACTGAAGACACAGTTTGTTACTGTTGGAAATAGAAGTTGGAAACAGATGCTCGGTGCTGCAAAGAAAAGTTAGCACTGAGACAAAGGATCTTTCAGCAACACAGTTTTTACTTCCTGGGCTGCAGAAAGGGCACTCTCACTAGCCATCTTGCCACGAGGGTACCAAAAACAAAGGAAAACACACATATTTATCCCTTACCCATTTGGGGTCGTCCTTACTGCTGTTTCTGATCTCCATTGGCTGGAGCCAGACCTCACAATCTAAACTAAAACCTGATTGGCTAATAACTTAAAACTTTTCTAAACAGGTAAAAGTAATGGAGAGCTGGGACATGCCTGTGAGCACGTCCAGCACAGATACCTTGGTTAAAGTACAAGGATATAGAATGTACTACGTGCCTGTAACCATGTCTAATAGCTACATAGGATAGGGCTTAACAAAGATATTAGCACACTTATAATTTAACAAGAAAGGAAACTTGAAAAAGGAACTTTTCAACTTCCCACAGTTACTCACAGATCCCAAAAGGAGGGGAGCACATCAAACAGGCAGGCCATTTGGGGAAGCACCAGGCTTGGTCAGGAAGGAGTGATGGAAGAGCACGGGCAGGAGCCTTTGTCATGATTTCCCAGGAAGGAGTGGGCAGGGTATGGTAAACAGATTTAGGAATTGCTCGTTGAGCAATTTAATCAGGTTCTGGGAGTGTAGAGGTTGACCTGATAATACAGAAAGCCTTGGCTCCTAAACTCCACCCTCAAGCCGGAACCTCAGCCCTAAGTCAAAACAGCTGACCCCGTGTTTCCACTCTCCTCCAACACGCCCCCCCCCCCCGCAAATAATTGCCATTTTGGCCCACCTCACCCCTCTCCTGTGCCCATAAAAAGCCTTCAGCTGGTCAGGCGCGGTGGCTCATGCCTGTAATCCCAACACTTCGGGAGGCCAAGGCAGGCGGATCACCTGAAGTTGGGAGTTTGAGACCAGCCTTGCCAACATGGTGAAACCTGTCTTTACTAAAAATAGAAAAATTAGCCGGGTGTAGTGGCTGGCTCCTGTAATCCCAGCTACTTAGTAGGCTAAGGCAGGAGAATCGCTTGAACCCGGGAGGCGAAGGTTGCAGTGAGCAGATTGTGCCACTGCACTCCAGCCTGGGAGACAGAGCGAGACTCTGAAGAAAAAACAAAAAAAGACTTCAGCTGGCTGATGCAAGTGATTAGAGATGCAAGCAGCTGAGCGTCAGAGTCGACAGGTAGATGAGGCTAACTTCAGATGGAGCAGCTTCAGGGAAGATCACTTTCTTCCGCTGAGAGCCACATCCATCACCCAATAAAATCCTCTGCATACGCTATCCTTCAACCTGTATTGGTGACCTGATTCTTCCTGGACATGGAACAAGACCCTGGTGCCGAGAGGGCAGGGGCATGGACGCTGCTGCAGGGTTTGCACAGAGCCTGCTCCCACCGGAGGGAAAGGACTGGCCGGTTCCAGCGTTCGTTCCCTCCGGTTTCTGCGCTTGCTAGCTTGCACGCTCCTTCTCTTGAGGAGTGGCCAGGGGCGGGCTGAGTGAAACAACCCATTCCAGTTCCCACCCACGAAGGGGGTTAAGGTCAAGGGAACTATCCCATCTCACTGAGATGTCTGGTGCCTGGCCCTGGGGTGATTAGGATGGGGGAATATTGGCCTGTAATCTGGTAGCCCCATAGAGGGGGTGGAGGGGGTGAGCTGGGATTGCTTGGTTTGCATATGAAAGGCACTCTTAAAAGCCCCTGTGTTACTTTCTCTAGGAATTGACTAGCTCTGGGAGGGACAGTCCCTCCAGGATCAGAAAGGCCCCAGATGTGCAAGCAGACTTTTTATTTTAACAGAAATAACTGCTGGGCGTGGTGGCTCAGGTCTGTAATCCCAGCACTCGGGGAGGCCGAGGCGGGTGGATCATCTGAGGTAGGGAGTTCAAGACCAGCCTGACCAACATGAAGAAACGCTGTGTATACTAAAAATATAAAAATTAGCCGGGTGTGGTGGCGCATGTCTGTAATCCTAGCTGCTTGGGATGCGGAGGCACGAGAATTGCTTGAACCTGAGAGGCAGAGATTGCAGTGAGCCAAGATTGTGCCAGACATGGTGGTTTATGTCTGTAATCCCAGCTACTCAGGAGGCTGAGGCAGGAAAATCACTTGAACCCGAAGGCAGAGGTTGTGGTGAGCTGAGATCATGCCATTGCACTCCAGCCTGGGCATCAAGAGTGAGACTCTGTCTCAAAATAAAAAAAAGAAAGAAAGAACTAAAAAGAGATGCTTGATATACATTCACATGTGACTTCTCCATGTGGCCTGGACTTCCTTACAACATGGCTCGCTCCTAAGGCAAGTGTCTCAAGAGACAGAAATAGCCAGGTGGGAGACGTGTTGCCTTTTATGACCTAGCCTTGGAGGCTGCGCATCGTCATTCCTGCCATATTCTTTGGTCAGAAGCGTTTGAACCAGAGGGACTCCATCTTGTATAGGGGCTGGGTGAAATGAGGCTGAGACCTACTGGGCTGCATTCCCAGGTGTTTAGGCATTCTAAGTCACAGGATGAGATAGGAGGTCAGCTTAAGATGCAGGACACAAAGACCCTGATGGTAAAACATGTGATAAAGAAGCCTACCAAAACCCACCAAAACCAGGATGGTGAGGAAAGTGACCTTTGGTCGTCCTCACTGCTTACGTTAATTATAATATATTAGCATATTAAAAGACACTCCCACTGGCGTCACAACATTTGCCAATGACATGGCAATGTCAAGAAGTTACCCTATATAGTCTATAAAGGGGAGAAACCGTTAGTTCTGGGAATTGATCATCCTTTCCTGGAAAACTCATGAGTAATCCACTCCTTGTTCAGCATATAATCAAGAAATAACTAGGCTGGTCGCGGTGGCTCACGCCTGTAATCCCAACACTTTAGGAGGCTGAATCAGCTGCATCACCTGAGTCAGGGGTTCAAGACCAGCCTGACCAACATGGTGAAACCCTGTCTATACTAAAAATATAAAAATTAGCCGGGTGTGGTGGCGTATGTCTGTAATCCTAGCTGCTTGGGATGCAGAGGCACGAGAATTGCTTGAACCTGAGAAGCAGAGGTTGCAGTGAGTGGAGATCTTGCCACTGCACTCCAGACTGGGTGACAGAGCAAGACTCCATATCAAAAAAAAGAAAGAAAAGAAAGAACGAACCATAA